TAGGGGGGGATCGGATAGGCGTAGGTGGGGATGCATCGACCCCTAATCGCCCATTGATCGCCAATAGGGGCCCCACAGCCCCAACCTGCCGAGGAGAGTGCGGATTCCCAATCGGATTCCTATCGCCGATCTATCGGCGATGTATCGCCGACTCCAGGTCGATGTTTCCCCTTATTCCTATCCCCCCCTGTCGTTGCCCCTCAGCATAGGGGGGCAGGGGGAGGAGGGAAGGCTTCTTAGCTGCACCCCTGCTTCTTAGAAGGCGCGCGCCTTAGCCATGGGTGTACGGCCGGCGTCTTTTCAGAAGCAGCCTCCTTCCAAGAAATGCCTCCCCTCCTCCCCCGAATCACGAGGGAAACCACGCACAGACACAAGCCATCTCCCATGCCCAGAAACAAGATGGACTTTCTTGGAAGTGGGGAGGAAGACGACCATCCAGGACATATGTTACCAGCCTCGAACGTATCCCTATCCCTAAGATTGACACGCCAAAAGGCCATGACAATCTCAGGGATCCGCCCTCAAAAAATATAAGGGAATCCCTAAGGTTGGCATCGTGATGAGGAGGTGCCCAGCATGGGGATAGGGATACGCTCCAGGCTGGCAAATATGGACAACAACATCGGGATGGACCCCCCCCCCGCTTGAGGTCGACCCCCCCCTCCGTCCCCGCTCGAGCTTCCTCCTTGGACCCCCCCCCCCCCGCTTGAGCTCGACCCCCCCCCCCCGTCCTCGCTCGAGCTCCCCCCCCTCGAGTCTTGGACCCCCCCCCCCCGCGCTGGAGCGTTCACTGAATATTGCGTGGGTAATTCGCTGGATCCCGACCCCCCCCCCCCAGAGCGAAGCTTGAGCGAGCTCAAGCCCACGCTCTCAGAAACTCACACGCCGGATCGGCGGAGTTGTGTGTCCCTGGGCCCCTCGTGCGCGCCGCCAGCTCTCACGGGGGGGGGCAAGGTCGCACTTCGACGTGATCCGGGAGAACGGCGCCGAGGCGGCGCGCCGGGGGCGATAGGGGGGCCAGCTGCTGCCAGGGGTGCCCCTGGCCCACGGCGCGCCTCCAGGACTTCCAGGGATCGGAGGTGGATGGACCTCCTGCCCTGGCACGTCGACCCCGTGGAAAATATAGGGAAATATGGGAAGTGGCGGGGAAGACAAGAAGCCCAGAAAATATGGGAAACTATGGGGAATCCTATTATTTGTGTGTATATATACATATATATATATATATCTATATATATATATATATATATATATATGTGTGTGTGTGTGTGTGTGTGTGTTCCAGGGCCACAGGAACTGCAGCCGGGGCGAGGGGTACTCGGATGCCATGTTGCGCTCTCAGAGGCCCTCTCGGAGCCAGCCCCCCTGCCCCCTCGGTCGGGGGCTCAAGACTTCCAGGGATCGGAGGTGGATGGACCTCCTGCCCCGACACGTCGATTCAGGAATTGGCCGTTGTCGGCTCGCGAGAGGGCGTGGCGGCCGTCCCTTTTGCGGGTCCAGGTCCGTCGGTTTCGGCCCCAGGCCGTGTTCATTGAGGGGAGGTTTACTCAAGGGAGGTCTGTCCACCGCCGAATGAATGGCGTCTTGGACCTCTTTTGGGGCGCTCTTTGGGCGCTCTTTGGGCCTTCTCGGGGCCCTCATGGGCTCCTCCAGGGGCTGTCTTGGGCCGTGTGGGGGTCCTGCGGAGGTCTCAGCAGCCAATCGGAGGCGAGGAGGCGAGAAGTCACACACATTGACTTCCTCGGGTTTTGGAGCTGCGTTGGCTTCTTGGGGAGTTCCCTGGAGGGCTCCAAGAGCACTTGGAAACCGTCTCAGGGCCGTCTTTTTGGTCTCTTGGATGTGCATCGGAGGTTATTCTGACCCATCTTGAGCTCTCTGGAGCAATTCTGGATGCCACCTTGCGCTCTCAGAGGCCCTCCTGTCAGAAAGACACGTGTCGGGTTGGGAGCATGGGGTTGGGAAAATGGATCAAATCATTTATATCATCGCGTTTGCTGATGGTACTTATCAGACGGGCATGTGCACGGGCATTGTCCGTCGCATCCTCCAAACCCCTTGCGGCTTGAAACGCCTGCCGATTGCGCTGGTGCTTCTGCTTGTACTTGGCTTGGTTCTTCGCTTTCACATCGCTTGACACGACGTTCCGCTCACCACATTCACGCGTCTCTCCTTCAGAGCCAGCTGTTCCTCCTGAAGAACCCTGCTCTGCGCGTCACTGGCCGGGCCTCTATAGTCTGGAATTATCTCTGGGTCCGATCGGCAGCGATGTTGCACCGCCGGTGCTAACGACTTATGCAGAAGTCATGACGCAACCCATGCAAAACGGAAGCGGATCAACGCAGCAGTGATTCCGTATTGCGAACGGGACCCAATGCGGAATCCATTATTCTGTCCGTATCAGGAACGGAACGCGTTCTTGAACGGCCCCACCGAAGGTTTCGGCAGGGTTCCAAGAGGGCCCCGAGAGGGCCACGAAGTAGGCTGCAGGGTGCTGCCTGCGTCTTGGAAAGTGCCCAGGGGTCCAGGATTGCCCCGAGAGGGCCACGAAGTAGGCTGCAGGCTGCAAACCTCGTCTTAGGAAGCTTGCGCGGTGTTGGATCGGCGGCCCATGCCTTGCGGTGACAACACGTTTCCCTTTCGCTAGATGCATGCGGCCGACGGTATCGATCGTTGCATCTGGAAGCTTTTGCTCACACCCTGCATTCGCTCAACCCCCTCCTCCCAACACGATAATTGTCTTTCAAATCTTGGAGCCGTCTTGGGCCCTCTTGGACGCCCTAACCCCTTACGGGGCGCCCCTTCCAGGCCCAGGGGAGGGGGCAGGGGGAGGGGTTAAGACACCCTCGTAGATAGCAAGCCGTCTAGCTCATTCCCACCCGCCCTCCCAACACACGCGTAACACCCGAGCCTCAGCATGATCAGCGGTCGTCTTTGGATGGGCAGCTACTGGGAACCAACACCGACCCCATGTGCGCGACTCTGGGGCGAGGTCCGCCACGCGTGCCACGTGCGCCACGCGCGCCAGGCGCGCCAGGCACCCCTGGGACCCGAACGTGCCAGGCACATCTGGTGCGCCAGATGCGCCACGTGCTCCACGTGCGCCAGGTGTGCCGCATATTCCATACGCGCCAGGTGCACCGCGTTCGGGGCACGCGTAGAGTGTGTCAGGTGCGCCTGCGCACGTGACTTCACACATCGGGAAGCATGTCGGCCCCACCATCCTTGTCGTAAGCCAATGCCCATCATGGTGTCAGGTGTGCCTGCACACAGCAGGCCATGCGCCACCACCCCCGCCGTCCTTGTCCAAAACCACTTGACAGAGATCGCGGGGCTGCCGCGCATGATCCCGATTTAGCAGCGAGGTGCCTGGCGCATGTTTTTCACAAAGATGGTGGCCCTGCGCGCAGCAGGCAATCTGCTGACACCCCTGCCGTCCCTGTTAACAATTAGCCTGGCGAAGGACCCAACCATATGCAGTTGTGAAAACCGCAATTGTGAACACCATCTTCGCCCGCGCTGCCTATGTGGCCACGGCTTCCCGCCGGAGCCCGACATGCTCAGGAACACAGCCGTGGCTGTCTTCGCGGGCGCCGACGACGACAAGGGCGGCGTCCGTCTGACCGAGGAGCAGAAGCAGGAGAGGGCTTTGAGAACCATGAGTGAGGAGGTGGCGTTGCACGTCGACAAGGCGGAGTGCGACGCCCAGGCGCGGTTGTTGAAGCAGCACAACAATGGGACCACGCTCTTCGTGAGGGGTGTGCCGACATGGTCCGAGGCCGCCATGCGAATCCTGCCACTGGGTGCCTTCGGTGGAGCTCCGTATGTGGCCGCGATCTTCGTGAGGGGTGTGCCGAAATGTCCCGAGGCCGCCATGCGAACCTTGCCACTGGGGCCTTCGGTGGAACCCCCTATGGGGCCACGGTCCTCGCGAGGGGTGTGCCGAAATGTCCCGAGGGCGCCGTGTGAACCCTGCCAGTGAGGGCCTTCGGTGGAGCTCCCTATGGGGCCACGGTCCTCGTGAGGGGTGTGCCGAAATGGCTCGAGGCCGCCGTGCGAATCCTGCCACTGGGGGCCTTCGGTGGAGCTCCGTATGTGGCCACGACCCTCGTGAGGGTGGCGCCGAAATGGCCCGAGGCCGCCATGCGAACCCCACCGCTGGCGCCTTCGATGAGCTCTCAGCGGGGCCACGATCCTCGCGAGGGTTGTGCCGGCCGTGCGAACCCTGCCACGGGGGGCCCTCGGTGGGGTTCCCTATGGGGCCACGGTCCTCGTGAGGGTGTGCCGAAATGGCCCGAGGTCGCCATGCGAACCCCGCCGCTGGCGCCTTCGATGGGCTCTCAGCGGGGCCACGATCCTCGCGAGGGTTGTGCCGGCCGTGCGAATCCTGCCACTGAGGGCCTTCGGTAGAGCCCCCCCTGGGGCCACGACCCTCGTGAGGGGTGTGCCGAAATGGCCCGAGGCCGCCATGCGAACCCTGCCATTGGGGCCTTCGGTGGAGCTCCCTATGTGGCCACGGTCCTCCTGAGGGGTGTGCCGACATGGCCCGAGGCCGCCATGCGAACCCTGCCACGGGGGGCCTTCGGTGGAGCTCCGTATGTGGCCACGACCCTCGTGAGGGGTGTGCCGAAATGGCCCGAGGCCGCCGTGCCAATCCTGCCACTGAGGGCCTTCGGTGGAGCCCCCCCTGGGGCCACGACCCTCGTGAGGGGTGTGCCGAAATGTCCCGAGGCCGCCATGCGAACCCTGCCATTGGGGCCTTCGGTGGAGCTCCCTATGTGGCCACGGTCCTCCTGAGGGGTGTGCCGAAATGGCCCGAGGCTGCCGTGCGAATCCTGCCACCGGGGGCCTTCGGTGGGGTTCCCAATGGGGCCACGATCCTCGTGAGGGGTGTGCCGAAATGGCCCGAGGCCGCCATGCGAACCATGTCACACGCTTCGTGGCCCCATACTGGGCTCCACCGAAGGCCCCAGTGGCGCAGCCCGCCTGCGTCCCAGCCGCCCATTTCGGTAGACCCGTCACACGTTTCGTGCCCCCATATGTACTCCGGCTCAGTTGGCAGCGCCCGCATGGCGGCCCCTCCCGTTGCGAACACGCCCTTCACGCGCTTCGTGACCCCAAAAGAAGGTACACCGAAGGTGATGCGCACAACGACAGTATGAACAACTGCATATGGTTGGGTTTTTCGCCAGGCCTTTTGTTTAGGGGGGCTGGCGGGGAAACCGACCTCATCCTTGATCGCCTTCTCCTCCTCCTCCTCCTCCTCCTCCTCCTCCTCCTCTTCCTCTTCCTCTTCCTCCTCCTAGCCCCTGCCAAACCCAACTTCCCAGCTGCGCAGTTCTGCTCAGCCTTGCTAGCCAGTGCTAAGCCGTGGTACGCCCAGCTGAGTAATGTTAGCCCTTGCTATGCACTGCTGAGCCCTGGCAGCTGCTGTTAAACCCTGCTGGTGGGCCCTACTGGGCCCTGCCAGCCCTTCCCAAGCCCTGCTGCTAAGTCACGTTGGGGAGTCACGCTGGCGCCCTGCAGATTCACGACATGCCTCGCTAAGGTCTGCCAAGCTTTCCTGAGCCATGTCAAGCTTCGCTGAGCCTTGCAAGGCCGTTCATCTACAATGCTCACTCCTGCTAGGCACTGCCCAGACGCCCCATGCCATGGTAAGTATTGCGAAGCCTGCTCCGCCTTTCAAACCTCTGGTCTGCCATGCTCGCCCCTGCAAAGCCCTTGCAGGCCCTGGTGAGCTTCTTGCTAGGCCCTGCGAAGCCCTGGTAAACTCTGCTCTGGCCTGATAAGCTATGCCGAGCCAGAAGGTTGCCAAGCGAGTAGTGTCAGGCCCTGTTGAGCCCTGGCCCTGGCAAGCGCTGCTACGCTCTGCTGAGCTATGCCTAGCCCAGCCATGGCCTGCCACGCCCTGCTGGGGTCTGCCAGGCCCTGCTAAGCGTGGCCAAGCTCCGCTACGCCCTGCTGGGCTCTGCCAGGCACTCTCCACCCTTGTTC